TCCGTAGCTTCATGTGCAGCGGTTAAGTTTTGAAAGTCACGCCTTCATTTTTGTTTTTTGTTTTGATAAATGCCTTCCTGTATGGGCCCCTTTTAAATGAGACAGCCTGCCCCACCCCGGGTAAATTGTATCCCACGGCGAAGGGAGCTGCGCATGTTAGTCTTTATCACGGCCGGTAAGTTGCATTACAAGCAAGCTGAGTGAGTTACGACGTGTAGACTGAATGCGCTTGCCTGCGCTATTTGCAATCCGTCGTAATTAAAATATGACAAATTTTGTGCATCTTGAATATTTAGTGTTTGTTTTAGACTACTGCCACATCGGTTTCGGTTGATCAGGTAGCAATTATGGATATACATAGGCAATATAAAAGTCAGCTTGTTGTCTAGATGACAATAAGTCATGACAATCATATCAGTAAATCATTTACAATAAGTCAGGTAGTGACATATGGTCTGTGCATTACATTAACGATACAGCATATAACAATGGACATCTTGAAAAAAAGTTCGTGCCATCCTGGAATACTTGGCTAACAGATGCCAAGTGCCTTGCAGTATATACGACGCATTACTTCCCACAACTCAGTATATTATTCAGATTAGTGTAGCATGCCGTAGACCACTAAACACAATTTACACCAATCGCTATAGTTGTCAGCGATGTGCAGAAACATGCTTGTTAGGCTCAACCCAAGATGGTTGCACGTATGCGGCTGGGAGTATATATATATATGGGCATGCGACAGACACGGCACTGGCTAGCCAGGGCAAGATGATTCTGCCGAGACAGCAGCAAAACTTTTACTACATCTTACATCCGTTTCTGTGTGAATCGGGTTTACGCCTTCGCATTTCATAGCTGGATTGGTTTATTCAAATAATGCGTGTGCCACAAATAAGCGCGGAGGTCATTTATACTTGAAAGGGGTTATTCGGCAGCCTGCACCACAGCGATGCGGAACACAAAAGCGACTGAGGCACAAGAGCGTGTGTACGCACATTGCTGTTCAGTAGCAGTGGTCAACGCGTTCGGCTGGGTACGTGCCGTCGATCGCAATACATGGACCGGTTACTTCCACCACGTGTTGCTTGTGGAAGGCATTTCAAGACGGAACCCTGAGAGCTGGCATACGAAAGCTCCGGAAACGGAAACTATTGGTTAAATGCCGTCCTGACATATTTTAGAGTGGCCCAATGCAATGGCGGGGTGGAGGGCAGAGCTATTGTAGGAGCGGAAGCGTTGAAGAATATGTCGTTAACAGTTCCTTTTACCGTATTTTTCACTCATATTTTTATGCGCAAGGCCAAGCGGGGCATATCATCGTATCATATTTTGGGTGTGGTTCGATCCGGTCATAAAAGTGTTTGATATAATTAAAAGAGGAGACAACTTACGGGCCACGATCATAATTAACCTCAAAACCAAAGGGTAAATAAAAAGCAAATTGCGTATCGTGTAATGACGCCCTCCTAGTTTTGTCCATTTATGTATATTCACTCACGTTTTTATTATAATAGTTAAATTTGCAGTTGCGTTGTTACTTACTACAACCATTACACCAACAAAACACGCGTCACACGGATGATCACTTATCCAACGTTTGGATGTTACGCAAAATGAATCGAAACAAGGACCCGTCGTAGTATCTCAGCGCTACCTCGTTTACCAGCTTGCGTGTTTAACGATCATGCAGTGTCTATAATCGCTGGCTGTTCCAAATAGCATCTGAGATTAAGCGAACCTCGGAGACGATTCGTCACAGCGCGCGCCGCCATTTCACGACAGGGTGAGTGACTGAAATTACCCCGTGCGTCGCCGTTGGGGCCGGGCGGACGGCGGGTCGGCGGCGCTGACGGCCTTCAGACGGCGGTCTGAGGTCGGCCGACGGCGGTCGATGGAGTCACCTGGCGCGCGGTCCGCTCCGATTACACGGCGTCGCCCGCTCCACAATGGCAAGGAATAGGCCGACTGGAAAAGGAGCTTATAAATCACATTTGCCACGAATGAATGACTCATAACAGCCATGAATGGAACCGGTGTAAACGATGATAACAAAACCTGACAGCTGGCTGCGTTCAGGCGGGAAAAAGTCATTAAACGGATTGTGGCTAGCGAGCAAACAATTGCTGAATTATATGCGCAGCAGACTGCGAAATTGGTTTCATTCTTATGGCATAGATAACTTTTCGCCAGTCTCTTGCACTTCTGTAAATAAAAGTATCGTACTGAGATCAACACACAGCCCGTGAAATCCCCGAGCTAAGTTAAAATTTGCCTCATGAAATTGCTTCGTAAATGGTTAACGGCTAGCAAAACGGTTGTGGACACCCCTGATGCAATATTAAAAAGAAATGAAACGCCACATGTGTAACTAACAGTCATTTTAGTGGCCACACCATTAAAAGGAATGTTCACATTTGCATGAAATTTTGAACTTAATTGGCCATCTTGACGATTACTCGGTACAGTTCACAGCCCTAGCCTTCTTAAGACCCGAAACCCCATAGTTTTTGAGCTACACGCCCGCTAAGATAGGCAGAATATTTCGGAAGACTTCGACGGTAACCCAGGCATCCATGGCGCAATAATGCCATTCAAATCCTACCACTCCATCAGCCGTGCGGCAATCAAGGCCAGGAAGATTGTGATTGTCGAGTCGTTCATATCTCGCGTTCGTGAGCACGATTCTCAAATATATCGGCCGTCCACTGGCTCTCAATCATTGTTGTGCGAGGTGCAAGCAAAGGCCTGGTCAAACAATGGCGTATTGAGGAGCACATTTACTAATCAGAGGAATTGTGTTGTCTGGAGCAGTCTTATCCACTTAAAAGTGTACCAATAGTTATCAGTGAGCTTATTTCATCATGAATGATGCTTTCCTCAATACCTCTGATGCGAAACATGTGTTTCAATAGGGGAGCCAAGGTATCAGAGTTTTTTTAAAACTACTTTCCACGCTTAGCTCAGTGTTGGTGTTAAAGGGTTCATACATATGACATAATCGCTCTTGACACCTTACTTGAGTGTTTGCGTGGACAATCACATTTTCTGTTTCACTAAAATGTCGTAAAACGCGTCAATATTTCACCAGACGCTGGAAATTGGGGGCTTCCTCGATATGTGCCGAAATCAATGACTGAAATTTACACTTGCTGTATCAGCGATAGCTATTTTCAAAAGCCACCAACCAGAGAGTCGAACGAAAAGAGACCTTCAAGTCCGTAAATGTTTCCGTTCTTCATAAATATATGCAATTCATGGCAGCACAGTCGAACAAATGTCATTGTAGATCTTAATGTGCATGCAAAATTATTGCACGTATAGCCAAAGTTATAGTATGGCTGATAACTCTAAAACAAATCGTTGGCAGAACACAGTTGGGGAAATGCTATTAAAAGGCTTATCGCACCGATGTTTCAACACAGGCACTTGAACTGAGGCTGCCTCGATGTATTCTGAAGTCAATGCCTTAAAGTTACATTTGCCGTTCCAGGAATAATTATTTTCAAACCACACCAACTCCAAAATCGACAAATATCTCAATGAAAGTGCATGGCATTTAGTGTTGCACATGAAAAGACCTTATGGCTAATACATTGTAGCGAAGAGAACGCTTTGCTAAGAGGGGTTGAGCTGGGTTTGGAAGGGCATAAGTGAGGCATTCGTTCATTCATTTGCTCGTCGATGTTTACATCTTATGCCACGGCTTTAGGTCGCTCTGTACATGCGGCACAACCATATCAACATGTGACGAGAAAATAGTACTTCCAGGTTCCATAACGAAATCCTGCACAAAAACAGCCTTACTCATAAAACCCTGCCCATGGAATATTGCAGAACATTGGCATACTGGGACGGGTACGATCAATGTGTACGGTATTCAACTGTGACGATGGCCATAGACACAAGTGAGACATTTGTGCATAGCAGAGCATACAGTGCTTCAAGTGCGCGAAAAAACACGATCTATTCAATACCCGCACACTTAGCTGCCGTGGTGTCTCTCGGTATCACCGTTTCAAATGCGATTTTCAAACGCAGCCCAGCCATTTTAATGGTTATAAACTAGGCTTTAATATGTTAGCACTATCCAGCGCTGCTATGACATCCAAGTAATCGCTCTTTTCAGGTTCTCACTTTCCAGTGCCCCCGATCAGCAACCACCGACTGTTCACGATGATCTCTTTGGGACAAGCCGGCTGAACTTTACCGCCACCTTAGCAAACATCATCGCAGGCGTCCAGGGCACTCCCCAGGCCGGAGACCTCTGTAAAAGCGCCCGGGCGTCTACGGTGCTCTCATCAGCAACAGTCGGCTGAGCTCCTCCGAGATCCCGAACACCAAGCGGATTGAAGAGGGGCGACACTCCAGAGGGCAAGCGAAACCATTCCGGATATCGGGCTGCTCTCGATATTGTTGGATCGTGACTAGGTACAACTCCTTGTTATTCCGTGACGAGTTGCCGGGAGGTTCTCATGGCCCCACGACCTGCGACTTCGATACGAACGTCGTCGAAGGGCGATCGTGATTTCACGTCGCAGGGCGTTCAAAAGATTTCCGCCACAGGAGCATAATGATCATAGACAGGGCATGATCAGCGCGAATCCGCGATTCTTGACAGGGAACCACGCCGGCGAGTTCCCGTGATCCCGTGAAGCAGCATCGCCGTGGGCTGTGGTTCTCGCGATTTCGTGACACAGATCTGCCGTGATGCCTTCCCCCCCCCCCCAGCCCGGTGAAGAGCTGTCGCGGCGAAGGCTCGGCCTGCCGCCCTCGTGCGCCGCAGCCAGCGCCGCCTCCTGAAGTTCAAGTGCGCATCTGCCCGCGGGCTGGAGACGAACTTGGCTCGCCAGTGAAAGTGGAGTATCCCCGGCCCGAGAGGCGTTCACGCGGCCGGTCACGTGACACGGGGGAGGTACCGGTGTGGAGGTCACGTGACCGAGGAGGCGCATCCTCCTGGTAATTATGCTGCGGCCGTATAAATAGTATCGCCCCGCAGTGCTGGGCATCAGTTGTGCTCGGTCCCAGTCACAGCAAGGATGAACGGCTTTATCGTTTTTAGCGGTGAGTGAAAGTCACCGAGAAGACCGAAAGAGAGGATCGAAAAGGAAAACGGCCCACTTTTCTCGTACTAAAGTCCACTGCTTTTTCCTTGGCAGTTTGTCAGTGCTCTAAATCTGGACGAATGAGTCCAAAAATTTCCACGATCATAATTTATTTAAATTCAAGTGTGAAGCCCTTTTGGACGACTCTTCGAACGAAACTTTGGATGACTCTTCGAGCATCGAAAAGGAAAACGGCCTACTTTTCTCGTACTAGAGTCCACTGCTTTTTCTTTAACAGCTTGTCAGTGCTCTAAATCTGGAAGAATGAGTCCAAAAATTTTCACAATCATAATTTATTGAAATTCAATTACCAAGCTCTTTTGGACGACTCTTCGAATGACCCATTATTTTGCAAGTGCTGAATTAGACACTTGCACCCGAGGTTAGGACATTTGGAAAATAATTTCGGCCCTATCAAATAGACTTAAACTAAATTCAAGTACGAGGGTTAACTGGGACAGACCATCTTTCAGTACGCGAAACTTGTGTTCTTGTTTTACCTTAAAACTGCAAACAGTTTGGAGCAATCGAAGTTTTTGCTGAAGTTGCCGTTCTATGCTTTTTGTTTCTCCCGTGCTTTTTTGGGTACTCACTTAATACAGCGGCATTCTAAATTGTGTCTTTAGCTAAGACCCAATATGCAACCATGTTTTTAAAGTCAAATGCTTCAGTCATATGCCATTTGCATCACATGGTGTTGCCATTCCCGCTTGGTTCGTTTTGAGGCTCGCAATTCACTGATTCGTATCCATAATTATTTTCTGAAAGTTTCGCAAATCTTACGGCGTGTTCAAGTCAGCTAACTTTAGCAGGACCGTACCTTTCCAACGGGTCTGGTCTGCAGCGGCGCATGTCCAGCTCTGTGCCCCGGTTGGCTGTTCTCTCTGTGCGCCATGGGCAGCGTTTCTCGCGGAATCGTACCCTTTTAACGGGTCCGATCCGCTGTGGCGCGTGTCCAGCTCTGTGCCACGGCTGACTGTTCTCCCCGTGCGCCATGGGCAGCGCTTCTCGCCCTGGCTGCGGCTCAGGACGGGTACAGCTACGGCGCGCCCGAGACCGGCTACGACTACAAGGAGCCGGTTAACCCGCAGGGTTCCGGCAACACGCCCGGCGGCTCCGTCATCAAGGTAACGCCACGGCGGCTTGACCAGCTGGCTGTTGCTTTTGCCCTGGCCTTAGTTTTGGAAGACCACAGACGAACTGTGCAGAACTTTGTAGGGCTTGCTTTTTCGCGAGTAGCTCCATGCAAGCTGCAGTGTTTGCTTCAATTTAAGTGCATCTATATCTCAAATGAAGGTGCATTACAATATCTGTAACAGATTTCGTCGTGTGTACTGCTCCACCGTTTCAAACATAGCAAAGCATAGCATTTCAAGCATAACGGCAGCCTCAACGACGTCGCTGGAACCGATCTCAGGCCGTGATAGTCCAGCGATACCACCCGTCACCCCGTCTCTGCCCTCCCTCCTGACTCGTCCGCACTAACCAGGCCCGCTGACCAAACGGGCCCGCCCCGCGCCATCCTCGCGTGGTCGGAGCCCATGGCCATGCACCTAGAGCCGTCCGATCTCCACCGTCCCCTGAGAGGCCCGAGACTGTTCGTCGCACCCTCGCCGCATCCCTGAGGGTCCGCCCCGCGGCCGTGCTCCCTGTCAGTGACCACTTGACCGTCTGACCGTCGCCACAGCCTGCCGGCGACGAGGACCACCACCACGGCGGCTCGAGCGACCCGCTGCAGTGGCTGCGTGACTCTGTGCCCGGCGAGCCCGGTGTGGATTACCCCATCTATGCCACCATACCGCCGACCAGCTTCAGCTGCGACGGACGCGTACCCGGTGAGATCACACACGGAAGAGAGGTCCGACGGCGCCGCCTGTCTGGCTGTCTCCAGGTCCGACGGCGCCGCCTGTCTGGTTGTCTCCAGGTCCGACGGCGCCGCCTGTCCGGTTGTCTCCGGGTCCGACGGCGCCGCCTGTCTGATTGTCTCCAGGTCCGACGGCGCCGCCTGTCTAGTTGTCTCCAGGTCCGACGGCGCCGCCTGTCTTGTTGTCTCCAGGTCCGACGGCGCCGCCTGTCTTGTTGCCTCCAGGTCCGACGGCGCCGCCTGTCTAGTTGTCTCCAGGGCCGATTCGGCCTCGATCGCCTAGCTCCCGCAGTGTCCGTGTCTTTGCTGGCGAGAAATTCTGTGGTCAGAGCTTGAAGATGACACCAGTGGTTAGATCTCGCCGATTTGTGCTAATGATTTTGCTCGTCGCGCCGATATCGTGATCGTCAGAACGATATCGTGCATTCCTCATACGTCAGACTAATACCTGCCCTACCTTTGCCCGTCCGACAGGATATTACGCTGACGTGGAGGCCGGCTGCCAGCCGTTCCACGTCTGCAACACCATGGTCGGCGACGAGTCGATGAAGCTCTCCTTCCTCTGCCCCAACGGCACCATCTTCAACCAGGAGGGCTTCGCCTGCCAGTGGTGGTCGGACGTGGACTGTGCCTCGGCCGAGCAGTTCTACAACAAGAACGAGGAGATCGGCAAGGTGCCTGAGTCGGCCGCCAGCAACAACGTCAACAGCGTCGTTGGCGGGCCAAGCCAGCCGCAGAACTCTTACCAGCAGCCACAGAACTCCTACCAGCAGCCTCCGTCAGCGCCCCGCCCCCAGGCGCCGCGTCCTCAAGCTCCTCGCCCCCAGACGCCTCGCCCCCAGACTCCGCGTCCCCAGGCGGCCCGTCCCCGCCCCCAGGCGGCCCGTCCCCGCCCCCAGGCGGCCCGTCCCCGCCCCCAGGCGCCCCGTCCCCGCCCCCAGGCGCCCCGTCCGCGCCCGCAGGCAGTGCGGCCTGTGCCGAACCAGTACATCCCTCCGACCACCACCACGACGACCACGACCGTTCGCCCGCCGCCCGGCCTCTACAACCTGCCCCGGAACTAGACCGTCGGCGCCACCTCCCAGCTCCGGACCGCCACCGAGTGAGCGCTGGCCGGCCGCACGGCCGCCCGCTGCCATATTTATCAGAGTGAGTGCGCGTGCGAGTGTGCCGCCGAGGGGTCGGCGTGGTCGGCCGACGAGACCCGAAAGTGAGTGGTGTCAGGTGTGAAATGGGCGCGGGTGCAGAAGTCGCGGTCCTCGGCGCCCGCTGCGGGAGGCATCCTTTAGAGGGCGTCTTTCTTCTTTGCTCAGTGTTCCTTTTGGCTTGTCTAGTCATAAGCATCGAATGCGAGCGGTTGTCCCTCGGATGTTCACACATCCCACGGTGACATTCCAGGAAAAGAGGGACAAATACATAGATACAATGCACACGAACGACGACTTTGTGAAGCGATTCCCGAATGCAAAACGGGACTTCAGCCATACAAGCTGTCCGGCCTTTATCCCGAACACCTGTCGGTTTAGTCAGTGTGCACGACCGATCATTACAGCTGCACAGGCACAGGAACTCTTCCTACTCCCACCAAACGTGCCTGTCGCGTGGTCCTCTCTACGAGCCGTAGGAAACGGATTGGCTGCACGAGGAGCACTGGGAGGCGCACGGTCGGGTGCTGTACACCGTCCGCTTCAGTTGGGATCGGAACAAAGCTCGCCAAAAAAAATCACAAACACCGCGCCATACGTGTCAGACTTTGTGATAGATGCCACCTCTACGTGGCGGCATTAAAGGGAAATCTGAGGCACGATCCATTGATCCATCATCCGGGCGAGCAGCGGTGGCAGCGCAGCCGTCCATTACTGCTTTCTGCAACAGGAATATTGTTTTCACAGGCGTGCGCACGGTACAACCTGAGGGGCGGGTCGCCTAATAACTGCCGTAGCCAGCGCGTAAACACCACAAAAACATGAGCACGAGATGCGCAGTGACAGGTGTTGCCCACCTGGCTCCGTGCACCTCGGTGTGCGGTGCACTACTCCCCAAACAGGCGTGGCCCCGCACGCGCTCTCTGAACACGTCATTGTGCAGCCGTCCGTTCGGGTCCGACCCGAAGGCGCCCACAGCTTGACGAGCGGACCTGCAGCTCAGAGTTGAGGATGAACGCTACGTGCCGAGCAGGGCAAAGCGGGCCGACGAAAACCGCGCAACGCGGCTTTCGGCCACGTGAGATTTGTCCGAATGTCTGACACGTCTGCCTCAGATCTGTCAGTGGATGGTCTATCCCGTCAATGTCGCTTTGAGAGGGTGCATTCAGACCAGAACAGATCAAAATGGATGGATATGCTAGCTGCACTAATATGGTTTGCGCTGCAAGATGTCTTCATTCAATTCGCTGTATGGACAGCTCACATACGTCTGAAAATCAATCCGTCAGATCGTTAAGAGCTATTGCCATCTAAGCATTACAAGCAACGCTGGGTGCTAGAATACAGGGCCGCGGCAAAAGGCGATGGCGTGTATTGCGTGGAACCAAGTATCATAAGCCATTGAGAAACTGAGACGAAGCAGATCATGCTACTTAGCTATTCAGCGCAGCGTATTAGGCTCCTCTTCATTACGAATGTTGATGAATCTGAATAAAAACAGCACTGGCTGGCGTTTTGGTTTGTCCTGTCTACCTAGAAAGTGCGCTCTGGGTTTTGTCTGTCACAGCTGAATTATTTTGGAGACCATTTAACGTTGAACCTGAATACACTCTGTGCTAAATGGCACACGTGCGATGTGACTGCAGGGCTTTTATTTCGATGTCATGATCCATATCTTGTTAGGTACGCTGTGCCAAATTCGTGACGCATTTTCATCGCCTCAAAAAACCTTCATTGTCAGGTCCATGATCCTTATGGCTACGCTTAGTCATCAGCATAGATTGTCAAAGTTGAAGTGCTTCTAATATTAAAATAATGTCCACATCAGTCTGACAGGCTGACTAGCATCTAAAGAAAAACGTTAATCTACATCACAGCGTCACTCGACTTCCACCTACAGGCGTTGCGAGGGGGTGTTTCGGATGTGGTACTCATGACATATCTAAGGGTACGCCTGCGAGGACGGTCGCGAATTGAGGACGTGAATCACGCATGGTGAACGGCACCCCTGCGTCCCATACGCCGGATCACAAAACCGAATTGCAAAGCTTTGTTTCCTATCATATGGGTAATCACATCCTATCACATCCTAAGCAGCATGTTGAGATCTCATTTCTTTATGGGCAACATTGCATATTTATTTTGCCTATGGCTTAGTCATGTTGTATGTCAAACTGTCCTACACACGATTCGAGAGACACGGCATTTCTCTACACCAAATCACGTGTTACTCTGTGTGCACATGAGTAGATTATCCTGCAGTTTGTAACATCATGTTTGAAAGGACACAAACATAAATGTGCTGGGACATGCCCGTTAAACATTTCCCGAAAAAAACTCTCTGATCCTTCCAGCGTTTAACAGCTTCTTCCGCATTCCGTAATCCCAGCAGCGCATGTTTACTTCCTGAACTGAAGTTCTAGGATGACACCTCAAGCTTAGCCAATAATTACAGTTTATCGATCACCAGTCAGTTGCATATTTGTTCACATGCAACGCAGTGATATAACCAATTGGAGAGAAAATAGCTGAAGGCATGCAATCCATAAATGTTGTGCAGGTTGTGAGCTACAAATTTGTGAACTATGAACTTCAGAAACACGAAGAAGAAATCGTGGGGAATCTGACTTCATATCACTATCGAACAAAAAGTTGTTTGCGTTTTGAGTCATAAAGGCTTTGTATCTTATTATGTCGATCCACTCAAATGTTCAGAACTTACGAGAGACAGTGTGATATGTATAGGTGCAGATATGTTTTCTAGCTAGTCATCTGTTAGATGTTAAGACTGAAACACCGTTTCTCGGAGGTTGCCACCGACAGGAAGTTTTCCGTGCTGGCGTCACTTCTCATTCGCAGGGCAAGCCGATTATCGGCAAACAACGAAAATCATGGGTAATGTCGGAATTGTTGCTTTGAGCATATCTTGCTTGAGAAAGTTGCTTGGTATCGGTTTTCGAAACACATTACAAGCGTCGATGTTTTGAACTACTTTGACTTTTACAACTTTAGTTTATTTGGAAATATTTTTCAACATATTCTGGTAATGTATTAGAAATGGTTTGACACGAACCTGGCGCAGCTTGTTCTATGTACTAGATGGTTTTGAACGATATTTCGCATTTATGCACATCACCATCATGAGTTCATAGTACTCCAGCTTCTGAGGCTGAGGCTCAGCCTCATGTGTGGAGCACATGAGGCTGAGTTGTTGACCTTCGATATGCTAAGAGTTGCTGGTTGAAATATTGACAGTGCTTGACCTGTCAGGCTGGGCTTGTAATCACTTAATAATTACTCTGAACTCATATTGCCGAAAAGTCAGGAGTTATAAGTCTTTCTTTTTTAAATCGCACACCTCAGCTCAGTTTCGAGCCTGCATCCGTCTGGACGATACGTCCTTACTACCCCCTACAATAAACAATGGTGAGACATGCTTAGTTAGGAGGGAGGGGGCGGCCCAATGACACCACGTGCTTATCAATCCACATTTCTCCCTACTTCCCCTAATTATCACAACTCTGCTCAACGCTCTTTCCAGCTTAACAATTTCATCGCCGTCAATCGCGTGATTCATTCAGGTAAAATGGATGGTTTAGTTATCATCCAACAATTTTTTCCCTCCTGCCTGTAATGGGTTAGGCGAGACACTACATGCGCCAGCCTCAACGCCATATACCCACACCTTTAGCGATTAACCCATAGAATGCGTATATATATATATATATATATATATATATATATATATATATATATATATATACTCATGCCAAGGATGCATCCTCATGCCTCTAACGATTAACCCATAGAATGCGTATATATTCTGCATGATAATGCATTTCAAATAAGGCCTTTGCGTACTCGTATTTTCTCTTCAAACTGGTTTGTTGAAGGCAGCACAGTAATTTCGAAAAATGATCTTTTCGTGTGCCTTTGCTTGATTTCAGAACAAGGGAAATATTATAGGGAACGTAAACGTGCCTAAGCTTAAGTGTGCATGTACATACATATACGTAGACTCCTGCAGATATTCGATGGAGAGCTAACATCTTGACCTATCAAAAATCAAAATAATGGAATGTGAAAATTACGGTCACCTAGCATCGCATGAGATGTTAACTCGACATGAATGCATCTTTTAAAAAATGATAATCGAAACATGAATTGCCGCAGCCATACAATATGGTCCAATGCAGCTTCCAAATAAGCCGCACTGTGTCGGCGATTTCATTAGCGTAATCGCATTGTCGTAGCCGAGAGCAAGCGGTGATTACGCGCCGCTGTGGCCGGTGACGGACAGCCGGTATTGATCTCCGGGCAGGGCGATCTCGGCGTGACTAATTACTGGGCTGTGGTAATTCACAGCTGAGACCGCTGACAATTGGCTCCGGGCAGGGCGATCTCGGCGTGACTAATTACTGGGCTGTGGTAATTCACAGCTGAGACCGCTGACAATTGGCTGCATCCCACATTCCGAGGTCGGCACCGGCCTCTCGATGAATGCCCGGTATCTAGGCCAGCGGCCGTCGCTGAACAATGTTTGGCTGCGCGCGTCATGCTTCCTGGCCGAGCGGGTGGGGTGCACGGATCGCACGAGCGGATGATAGAGCGGACGACGGCAAATGACGGGAGTCGCGTGTCCCGCGGTCGCGATGTCCTCACGGATCAGAGGTCGACCCCGGCGTGGCTATGGGGGGGGGGGGGGGGGGAGGGCGCTAAGGTGTGTTGCGGGCGAGACGTCGACGGATTGGTCGATCTGGGGTGTAATTGCGAGGTTCGATCGGCTTCGGCCAAGGCTAACTCTTTGATGCGCGCCCAGGTGACGGAGCTGATGAGGGGGGAGACGGATCGTCGGCGACGGTCACCTCCAGAGCGGGCCGTGGCGGTGGTCCCGTGTTCGCCAGTGGGGAGACGGATCATCGACGGGGTCACCTCCAGAGCGGGCCGTGGCGGTGGTCCCGTGTTCGCCAGTGGGGAGACAGATCATCGACGGGGGTCAGCCCGGAGCACGCCGCGGCGGTGGTCCCGTATTCGCCAGTTGGGAGACGGATCACCGACGGGGCTCAACCCAGAGCACGCCGTGACGGTGGTCCCGTATTCGCCATAGATCCGGCTATAATTACAGCGGAGAAGGTGGTCTAAAACACAGTTTTTTGTTGCACACACACAACCACTGACAACCTGGAGCGGCCGTGCTCGTTACGCCATAGAAGGCTGGTTTTCAACGGGCTCGCATTATTGTTGTCCTTATCATTGCCCACGATTCAGCTTCCTCGTTGTACTTCCAAAAC